AGGGGCAGCTCTCGCACGTGACTTATGATGCAATTAAAACTAGTTTGAGCCTTGGACGGAACAGCCGCTACCTAGATATGTTGGTTGAGTTGAGCATGCGTTCATAGAACGCCCTTTCTCACTAAATTGTTTGAAAGCTAATTGCCAAAAACACTAATTGCCAAAAAAACTAATCAAATTATTAGGTCTTCTCAATATTGCTTTTTGCTCGACCACTCTTTTGAATCATGCCACATGTTTCTTTCTTAATCTATTAAATTATCTTCGTAATGGTCAACTACCGATAGGTGACCACCTACACCTAAATAAATTAGTTGTAGTGAGTATAACGGAAATTTTGCCATTCAGCCTACATTACAAGTGAGAAATGGAGATATATTAATCCGGTGCTTATCGTCAACAGACTAAAAGAAGTCCTGATCTTTTCTTTTCCTTTCCTGAAGGTACACAAATTTACAATGATGTTCACCCGTCAAAGAGCAACATGCGCAGCCGTGATAGGCATTTATGTTTTTAACCTGCCTCACGAATGCTCTAGCAGGAGCGTCGGATACCACAGCTTAAACACGAACGCAAGTAGTTTCCATCATACCCTTCCACTTGAAACAATTCTCCTGCAGATTTTGATTTCGTGTCGACGGGCATACAGTGCGCGTGTACATCAGACGGCTTGCCATTACCACATTATATGCCAACAGGAAAAAAGTTGCTCACAGTGACAATCAGTCAGCGCACAAATGACGTCAACAACATAAGCCATCAGATGCCCAAACCTGAGATATCGAAAGTAAGCTATTCTCGATAAAGTCTTGCTACGAGGGTCTATGGTATATATCCACTTAGCTCTTAGTAAAGACTTTAACAAAGTGCCCCTTAGACTATTCATAGTTAAAATGAAAGCTATGGGACTTTGTAGTGCCGTTAGTAACGGGATGAGGTCATACCTATCTAATCAAAAACAAAACGTCTTTTTGGGGTCCTCATTTTCATAGAGGACACCAATTTAAACATTGTCCCACAAGGTAGTATGCTGAGTCCTCTTCGGTGTCTGCCTTAAATTAATGCTATTGCAGTTCATCTCAATTCAGTTTATTTGTTGCGAATATAGCTGGACATTTTTCAGCTGCCTTTCGGTCCATAGGCGACGCAATTACATGAAAATGGAAAAAGACTGCAACGTGTCACTTAGCTTTTCTTAACCTCGTCACTTCTCTCCGTAACAAGCAGCAATCAGTGATTGTGATATACTTTGACCTTAGCAAAGCCTTCGACAGGGTACCACACAGACGTCTTTCCGTAAAACTGAAAGCCAGCGGTGTCTGTCCCCATCTCCTTGACTTTATTGGTTCCTACTTGTCTAACCGCAGCCAGAAGGACTAAGTAGGTAATAGTTACTCGACGGCTCAGCTGATCACGGGTGGTGTTTTTCAAGGCACCGCCTTGGGTCCTCAACTCTCCATTCTATACATTAATGAACTTTCAACAGTCCTGAAAATTTCACACAATCTCAGTTACGCAGATGACCTTAAGTGCATATACTCATTTTCTAAGGACAGGGCCAATAGATGCGTTGATAAAATAAACACAGGCCTACTTACACTCTCACGTTAGAGTGCTACCTGACAGATGGAATTTTCGCCATCCAAGTGTGGATTCGTGTGTTTTGGCCCCGCTAAGCTTCCTGGTCCCCTAGTCGTTCAAAATACTTCACTGTAAGAATGATCCACGATAAAGGACTTAGGTCTGAATTACACAAATAAACTAGCATTATCGCCTCATGCGAATCGAATTTCTGCGAAGGCTGCACAGATGGGTGGTTTTATGTCACATAATTTTCCCCTTCTGGAAATAAAGTTAAAACTGTACCGCATGTTTATTCTA